TACTTTTGAAAGTTGTTCAACTGCAAAGGAAATAAAAGCTGTATCCTTATAAAACATTTTGTTATAAGTCTTTGGAATCTTCAGTATCAAGTCTTGTTCATCTTCCAGAATTTGAAAAGAACTGTGAAAAATGGAGATCAAGACGACAAGAAGATGTTTTTTGGCAGATGTTTACGATGGACGAATTTGGAAAGAGTTTCAAGGTACAGAGATAAAACACTTAATTTTTGTGTAGCGAGAGACGTTATGGATTAATGATGAACTTGGATTGGTTCCAGCCTTATGAGCATGTCCAATATTCCGTAGGTGTGATGTACGCTGTAGTTTGAAATTTCCTAGAAACGAACGTTTTAAATTGAAAAAATGTCATCCTCATTGGAATCATACCTGACATGGCAAAAGAACCAAGTCTACATACATTCCTTGGGCCACTTATAGATGAACTGAAAAGTGTATGGACACATGGGTTTTCTTCGAATTCCTTTCAAAGTAAAAAGGATTTTTAGGCCATGGCGCTACTTTAGGATGCTCTAAATGCATGAAAACGTTTCCTGGTGATATCGGTAAGAAAATATATGGTGGTTTCGACGTTGAAAATTTGATACCCCGGGATTTATTTCGACAGCGACAGTTGGTTCATGTCATACGATGTGCAAACACCCAAACAGAAAAGGACACACTAGAAAGCAAATACGGTCTCAGATATTCTCCCCTTTGGGATTTGGATTATTTTGATCCAATAAGGATGTCTATCATAGATCCGATGCATAATCTTTACCAGGGAACAGCGAAGTAATTGATTAAAATTTGGTTGGAATTGAAAATTTTGCTACCAGAAGACTTGAAAACGGTCTAAGAAAGGGTCGACTCTGTGAACGCTGCCAGTAAAATCGGTGCCATACCTCGAAAAATATCGTCCTCTTTCGGGGGATTTACTGCAGAGCAATGGAAGAACTGGACAAATGTTTTTTCCATATTTTCATTAAAAGATGTCTTACCTAATAAAGATTTGGATATTTGGAGAAAATTTGTACTTGCAAGTTATACAATCGCTTCTAAGTTTGTTACGGAAGCTGATATAAGGCAATATGAGGATAGCATCCTACAGATTTGCAAAGACGTTGAAGCTGAGTATGACCAGGAAAGAGTTACACCAAACATGCATTTGCACTATCATTTGAGCGATTGCATTAGAGATTATGGTCCCGTGTATTCCTTTTGGCTCTTTAGCTTCGAAAGATATAATGGTCACCTTGGTTCACTGCCGAAAAACAATCGATCGGTTGAATTGCAGATGAGGCGACGTTTTACTCGGGATTCATTTGTAAATTCTGTACAACTACCAGCAAAATACGAAAGTACTTTATTTAAGCACTTTCAACAGATGGATACTCTTGGAGCAGTAGCAGCCATAGCTGATGAAGAGGTCAGACATCTTCTTTATTTAGCAAAGCGAAGTGCCCCTATTTGTAACCAGGACTGGTCCCGCATTGGTGCATATCAATACCCAAAAGAATCACGACGTCTTACACATGACGAACACCGTATTATTTCTCGTACCTACAGAGTCATGTATCCAGATATGTCGGATGATGTTATTCCAGAATCTTGTAGAAAATGCACAGCTGTTAGTTTAGGCAATGAAATATATGGATCATGGGACTCCCGACACAAGTTTTCCTCATTTATAATGGCATATTGGCATACTAAAGACGGGGAAATAATTACAGAGACCGGCACTGGGGATCTTACACCTGGAATTATCCAGACTTACTACTTGCATAATCTGTTGGTTAGAGGTGACAACAACATTCACTTATTTGCAAAGGTTAAGTGGTTACGTCCTCTGCTAGCAAGATACAGATATCACTGTTGGAGACCAGTAGAAGTGTGGAGCCAAGATATGTTTGACATTTTTGGGCCATCAGCATTTATACCCGTTTCAAGAATTTATTGTAAATATGTACGAGCGGATGGAGCTTTCTGGAAAGAAAGTTTCATTTATTTTTCCATTGAATACCGGAACAAATATATAAAACATTATCTTATCATTGATTAATATCATGTACATATGTACATATTATAGTATGTAATATAGGTTTGCACTTATTGAAAACAGAATGATTCTAGGTTTGATATTAAAAAACAGTACATTATATTTCGCAAATAAAGACAGACACGTGTGCATGCATTGATTTGTTCTTAAATGTTCGTAAAGATGGTGTGTCAGACTAGTACAATAAAGGAAGTAAAAAAATAAAATTAATTATAAAATTTAGACATTCGTGCATAGGAAGTAGGATTTGGACTGGATTGATATTTTACACATGGCAATCATTAAGTATCATTTAATAAAATATTATACAAAACTTTTAAATTATTGTTTAGCATACGCGGTTAACCTTTGTAAATGGAATTTGAACACTGTCTTCAACTGTGATACACGTAATTAGGACCCTCCAAACAGAACTTTCTGATTTGGGTTTTCAAAGAAATCCAAACAGCAAACATGAAATGCCTCTATGGATAACACAGTGAACCCCCTGCCATTTTTAAAATAACAATTCAAGAGGGGAGACTGTTTTCTATGAGTTAAAGATTAATTTCGTTTTCGAAAGCGGATACCATGTGTAATTTATGTATCATTTCCTATATTTAATTCATTTCTGAATAATCAAGTAGCACATGGATCGGCTTGGATGATATGAGGTATTGAAGTACTTCGGTTTCATAATATTTTGTGCTAGACTTACTTTTTATTTTTTTTACAAATGCACAATTTAATTTTTTCGTTGTTTTTCTTTGTCACAAACTCACATTCGTGTGTGTATATATATATATAGTTGGAAAAAACATCTGTAAATGCGAAAACATGTATTTTGTCAGAAAATCGATTTGCCTTTTCTAATATTTTTACTGACGTTGCGCACGATGTTGGTACTACTTAGCGTTTCACGACGTTCCTCAAAATAAGGCGATTTCGACGATTTTAAAGAAAGTTTCAGGCGTTCAAGCATATTATTGATGATGTCAATTTACTGTTGTGAATTTGGTAACCGATTTCGGTTTGTCTGAAAAAATGCATAAATTTACAAATAAAACTCAAAGTGGTCGTATAGATATTTTTTTAATGAAATTCATTTACAGGAGTTGTCAGTCTTTCCAGGCCATAATTGATAATTTTCCTTTCGGCAGCAGTTCGCATTAATGAATCCGATACAATAATGTCCAAATTTACACAGATTTCTTTTTAATATAAATTAGATTTTGATTTCATATTCTATCTTTTGCATATTTATTCCTTTTGTTGCATTTCTTCCCGTTTCCGTTTCCTTTCTATATTTTATCATTTCCCGATGCTTTCTTTGTCGCAAAATATTTAGGAAGTTAAACATTCGGGACTCATGTTTTAAATTTTCTCATATCCGTATTTTTGTGGCATATCCTTTGTTTGTTATAATTGCCAGCAATGGGTTTTCTCTATTTTATTTTATTAACAAAAAAATATACATGTTACTTTTGACGATTTAAAACTTGCAGATAGACAATGTTCCTTATATAAAACAAATATGCTATAAAAAAAAAAAAACCCTAAGATCCCAATATTTTTTTTATATCGATCTCATTTGGTCAACATTTGAATTTAAACTTAAACTATTCCTTTCTCATACATTGGTTGTATTGTAATTTATACATGTATTTTTATTTTCATTTGAATTAAACTGGAAACAAATAATTACGATATAAAATTAAAAACCAGAGCATGACATCAATTACGTTTTGCGAACGTTGGGACAAAACGGCTATACTTTTTGAAACGATCTAAAAACCTTGTTGCCTAACGAAAAAATATTAAACACTATATTGTTTAAGAAGAAAAACAAAAAAACCTTTACCGCCAAGTTTTATTTTTTATGATCTAACTATGCTTATTTGATAGACAGCTGGTTAAAACCTCGATTTTAAAGAAAATACAGCGTTTTTTTCGTTGGGACAAGATGGCTATATTTTTTGAAGCCATTGCAATAGAAACTATACGCATGGTTTCCGGCAAAAAAATATCATGAACCAGGAGAAAAGTAAAAAAAACTTTCAAAATATAATATATATTTTTTCTCTCAGCTTTTTCAATTTCACGGTATAAATGCGCAAACCCGAAATATACTTACTTTGCATACGGTTGGACATTTTTCAGACCGTTTACAAAAATATCATTTTCCGGATTACGGTTTCAGTGATATTAATTTTGCTTTAACACGCGAATAATTATAACAATAGCAATATTATTGTGAAGTTTTACGATGATCAGAGAAAAAATACCGTAGGAGAGAAACGGAACTCTGATCTTTTGCATACAAAATGAAACGTTGGACATTACGTTTTTGCGTAAAAATGGGATAATTAAGTGTTATAATTCCTGGTATTTTAAATTTCGGTTCCTTTTTTTCTTTTATTTCAAGTCTAATGGAATGAATTCAATCAGCAATCACTATATTTTTATCGAACTGACCAGTCTACGTATTTATTTTTATGCTAATCTATAGCAAAATGGAATTGGTACCAACATCGTGCGCAACGTCACTACTTTCGAAATGAATTATTGCTTTCATCAACATTTTTATACATGCAATATTTTGATGTATAAAAGTATAAAAGTCTTCATGAAATAGATTACTGACGAATTGTATAGTATAATATAATCGTAAAGATTCATTTAAAAAAAATATATATATTTATTTTCTTTATTTCTAAACCATTTTTGTATCTATGTATATATTTATATAGATAGACGGGTGTATGCATGGAATAGGCCAACCCCCCAGTTTAAAACAATTTTTTTTCAAATTTTGAGCTCTAGTTTCAGATTTTTGAACATAGCGCCCTTCGATACCTTGCGCAAAAGATGCGCCTGTTTCTCATCTACAAGACTTATATAGTCATACTCCGTGACTCAAGTCATTATTTTTCTCTAGAAGCCATGGAATAGGCCAACCCCCCAGTTTAAAACAATTGTTTTTCAAATTTTGAGCTCTAGTTTCAGATTTTTGAACATAGCGCCCTTCGATACCTTGCGCAAAAGATGCGCCTGTTTCTCCTCTACAAGATCTATATAGTCATACCCCGTGACACCCCTCATTATTTTTCTCTAGAAGCCATGGAATAGGCCAACCCCCCTGTTTAAAACAACTTTTTTCAAATTTTGAGCTCTAGTTTCAGATTTTTGAACATAGCGCCCTTCGATACCTTGCGCAAAAGATGCGCCTGTTTCTCCTCTACAAGACCTATATAGTCATACCCCGTGACACCCCTCATTATTTTTCTCTAGAAGCCATGGAATAGGCCAACCCCCCAGTTTAAAACAATTTTTTTTCAAATTTTGAGCTCTCGTTTCAGATTTTTGAACATAGCGCCCTTCGATACCTTGCGCAAAAGATGCACCTGTTTCTCCTCTTCAAGACCTATATAGTCATACCCCGTGACACCCCTCATTATTTTTCTCTAGAAGCCATGGAATAGGCCAACCCCCCTGTTTTTAACAATTCTTTTTCAAATTTTGAGCTCTAGTTTCAGATTTTTGAACATAGCGCCCTTCGATACCTTGCGCAAAAGATGCGCCTGTTTCTCCTCTACAAGGCCTATATAGTCATACCCCGTGACACCCCTCATTATTTTTCTCTAGAAGCCATGGAATAGGCCAACCCCCAGTTTAAAACATTTTTTTTTCAAATTTTGAGCTCTAGTTTCAGATTTTTGAACATAGCGCCCTTCGATACCTTGCGCAAAAGATGCGCCTGTTTCTCCTTTACAAGAACTTTATAGTCATACACCGTGACACCCCTCATTATTTTTCTCTAGAAGCCATGGAATAGGCCAACCCTCCAGTTTAAAACAATTTGTTTTCAAATTTTGAGCTCTAACTTCAGATTTTTGAACATAGCGCCCTTCAATACCTTGCGCAAAAGATGCGCCTATTTCTCTTCTACAAGACCTATATAGTCATACCCCGTGACACCCCTCATTATTTTCTCTAGAAGCCATGGAATAGGCCAACCCCCTGTTTAAAACAATTTTTTTTTCAAATTTTGAGCTCTAGTTTCAAATTTTTGAACATAGCGCCCTTCGATACCTTGCGCAAAAGATGCGCCTGTTTCTCCTCTTCAAGACCTATATAGTCATACCCCGTGACACCCCTCATTATTTTCTCAAAAAGCCATGGAATAGGCCAACCCCCCAGTTTAAAACAATTTTTTTTCAAACTTTGAGCTCTAGTTTCAGATTTTTGAACATAGCGCCCTCCGATACCTTGAGCAAAAGATGCGCCTGTTTCTCCTCTACAAGACCTATATAGTCATACCCCGTGACACCCCTCATTATTTTTCTCTAGAAGCCATGGAATAGGCCAACCCCCAGTTTAAAACAATTTTTTTTCAAATTTTGAGCTCTAGTTTCAGATTTTTTAACATAGCGCCCTTCGATACTTTGCGCAAAAGATGCGCCTGTTTCTCCTCTACAAGACCTATATATTCATACCCCATGACACCCCTCATTATTTTTCTCTAGAAGCCATGGAATAGGCCAACCCCCCTGTTTAAAACAATTTTTTTTCAAATTTTGAGCTCTAGTTTCAGATTTTTGAACATAGCGCCCTTCGATACCTTGCGCAAAAGATGCGCCTGTTTCTCCTCTACAAGACCTTTATAGTCATACCCCGTGACACCAGTCATTATTTTTCTCTAGAAGCCATGGAATAGGCCAACCCCCCAATTTTAAACAATTTTTTTTCAAATTTTGAGCTCTAGTTTCAGATTTTTGAACATAGCGCCCTTCGATACCTTGCGCAACAGATGCGCCTGTTTCTCCTCTACAAGACCTATATAGTCATACCCCGTGACATCCCTCATTATTTTTCTCTAGAAGCCATAGAATAGGCCAACCCCCCTGTTTAAAACAACTTTTTTCAAATTTTGAGCTCTAGTTTCAGATTTTTGAACATAGGGCCCTTCGATACCTTGCGCAAAAGATGCGCCTGTTTCTTCTCTACAAGACCTATATAGTCATACCCCGTGACACCCCTCATTATTTTTCTCTAGAAGCCATGGAAAAGGCCAACCCCCCAGTTTAAAACAATTTTTTTTAAAGTTTTGAGCATTAGTTTCAGATTTTTGAACATAGCGCCCTTCGATACCTTGCGCAAAAGATGCGCCGGTTTCTCCTCTACAAGACCTATATAGTCATACTCCGTGACACCCCTCATTATTTTTCTCTAGAAGCCATGGAATAGGCCAACCCGGCCCCCAGTTTAAAACAATTTTTTTTCAAATTTTGAGCTTTAGTTTCAGATTTTTGAACACAGCGCCCTTCGATACCTTGCGCAAAAGATGCGCCTGTTTCTCCTCTACAAGACCTATATAGTCATACCCCGTGACACCCCTCATTATTTTTCTCTAGAAGCCATGGAATAGGCCAACCCCCCTGTTTAAAACAATTTTTTTTTCAAATTTTGAGCTCTAGTTTCAAATTTTTGAACATAGCGCCCTTCGATACCTTGCGCAAAAGATGCGCCTGTTTCTCCTCTTCAAGACCTATATAGTCATACCCCGTGACACCCCTCATTATTTTCTCAAAAAGCCATGGAATAGGCCAACCCCCCAGTTTAAAACAATTTTTTTTCAAACTTTGAGCTCTAGTTTCAGATTTTTGAACATAGCGCCCTCCGATACCTTGAGCAAAAGATGCGCCTGTTTCTCCTCTACAAGACCTATATAGTCATACCCCGTGACACCCCTCATTATTTTTCTCTAGAAGCCATGGAATAGGCCAACCCCCAGTTTAAAACAATTTTTTTTCAAATTTTGAGCTCTAGTTTCAGATTTTTTAACATAGCGCCCTTCGATACTTTGCGCAAAAGATGCGCCTGTTTCTCCTCTACAAGACCTATATATTCATACCCCATGACACCCCTCATTATTTTTCTCTAGAAGCCATGGAATAGGCCAACCCCCCTGTTTAAAACAATTTTTTTTCAAATTTTGAGCTCTAGTTTCAGATTTTTGAACATAGCGCCCTTCGATACCTTGCGCAAAAGATGCGCCTGTTTCTCCTCTACAAGACCTTTATAGTCATACCCCGTGACACCAGTCATTATTTTTCTCTAGAAGCCATGGAATAGGCCAACCCCCCAATTTTAAACAATTTTTTTTCAAATTTTGAGCTCTAGTTTCAGATTTTTGAACATAGCGCCCTTCGATACCTTGCGCAACAGATGCGCCTGTTTCTCCTCTACAAGACCTATATAGTCATACCCCGTGACATCCCTCATTATTTTTCTCTAGAAGCCATAGAATAGGCCAACCCCCCTGTTTAAAACAACTTTTTTCAAATTTTGAGCTCTAGTTTCAGATTTTTGAACATAGGGCCCTTCGATACCTTGCGCAAAAGATGCGCCTGTTTCTTCTCTACAAGACCTATATAGTCATACCCCGTGACACCCCTCATTATTTTTCTCTAGAAGCCATGGAAAAGGCCAACCCCCCAGTTTAAAACAATTTTTTTAAAAGTTTTGAGCATTAGTTTCAGATTTTTGAACATAGCGCCCTTCGATACCTTGCGCAAAAGATGCGCCGGTTTCTCCTCTACAAGACCTATATAGTCATACTCCGTGACACCCCTCATTATTTTTCTCTAGAAGCCATGGAATAGGCCAACCCGGCCCCCAGTTTAAAACAATTTTTTTTCAAATTTTGAGCTTTAGTTTCAGATTTTTGAACACAGCGCCCTTCGATACCTTGCGCAAAAGATGCGCCTGTTTCTCCTCTACAAGACCTATATAGTCATACCCCGTGACACCCCTCATTATTTTTCTCTAGAAGCCATGGAATAGGCCAACCCCCATTTCTGCAAATGTGTATCTTAGTTCAATTAAACAATGACATCAAAGGTGCTGTATTTTACAGGGAAGGACTACTTTTACATACGTTCTTAATGGAATGGGTGCATTGGTGGTCTTACATCTACAAATAATTCGTTTACAGATGCAGATTTACTGTGGTACTGAATATTAGCCTAAAAAGGGATGTGACTTGTTTTATCAATGGATGGAATAAATACCATTTCATGATAGAGTTGAAATTACAATATTTGGAAAGAATTTCTGCCTGTTTAAATATTTTTTATTTAACGGCCGTTGCTGTCTTATTCATTTTTTCGGTTTTTAGATATATCGCCTTATTGTTCGCTGGCTTATTGTTCGCTAGTTATTGTTCGCTAGCTTTAGCCTGGTATTGTCTCTATCGGGGAATTACATACATCGTGTGCAGCAACACTAGTCAAAGTTGTTAACGTCTACTTAAGGTTGCAAAATATAACAGCTAGTCACAGCATCCTTCTTGTTTTATATATTTTTGTAGCAAACTTTACATCTATTGTATAATTGAATCAATTGAATTAATATCTATAAAAGACCGAACATGTTACTAATACATCTCCCATAACTTAGTTTTTGTTCGTTTTTGTTTCTTTTCATTCATCTCCCAATTTTCAACATATGCCGTCCTAAATTACGATTTTTTGTTTACTTTTTTTATTTCATAAACTGCCTGAGACAGACGATAACAATCTCAGTTTGAAGTGTAGTACTACTGCTGTTATACATAACACAAACTACGTACCACCTGTAGCATTCTATGGAGAAACTTGACAAAGTTTCACACATTGGCAGTCTTTGAAAAAATCAAAATCGAAATAGGTGAACATCTTTAAAATGTGTGCAATCACTGTTCAAAGTTTGAATATAAATGTTATCGACTCAAATTACGATTTTAAAGCAAGTCACTTCTTAAAGTATTTATAATCTTGTTGGTAAACGTTCAGAAATAACACGTTATGTTGTAGAAACCTCAAAGTATAGCTCTGATAATTGTTGCACCGATATAATTAAGACCTTAAAGAGTCAGTGTGTAATAAGGTTATGGAAAACTGGTCCTATCTCTCTCGGATTTGTACTATTATACTTGAATACTTTCTCCTCAGTATTTAGTGCTGGTTTTATTTTTGGAAAGGGGGGGGGGGGGGTGTAAAGTTGCGATTAAAATCAAAATACTTCTCTCATAGCGTTATTTTATTAGTAAATAACTATATATATGTTTGTCCCCCGCGTGACGCGTTGCGGGTGCATAAAAATATCGCACGTCCGTTCTTCAGTCTGTCCTTCCGGTTTATTAGATTTTTCAAGTGTACAATTCTTACCAGATTTTTACAAAACTTCTATCTATGATCACGTTTGAAAATCAGTGCTAATCAACTATTTCTCAAAAGAGTTATGCCCTTGGAAATATTAATCATATTGGAAATTGCGTTGTGTTTACTGTCAATCCGTCATTTCTCTATGATATTTGTCAAAGTTTTAAAGAACAAAAATACATTTTTATTGGTTTACCCTTTGTTGGATAAAATACGTGCAATTTTCACAAACTTAAGGTAAGCCATTCAAAATGTCTGGTATAAATTGCGTTGTGTTTACTGTCAATCCGTCATTTCTCTATGATATTTGTCAAAGTTTTAAAGAACAAAAATACATTTTTATTGGTTTACCCTTTGTTGGATAAAATACGTGCAATTTTCACAAACTTAAGGTAAGCCATTCAAAATGTCTGGTATAAATCTGTCAAAATTTTAATCTGACAATTCTAACCAACCAACTGCGATATGTTCTTCCTGTTAGTAGGTTTCTTTTGATTATCGTAATTTGATGGAATTTCTATTTCATCATCCTTATCGTTAATTATCTCTAAATATGTATTGTCTGGCATCCTATCGGTTTTTCTGATATTATTTAGATATTTGTAGACAATTGTTCGATTCTTCCTTCTGGTGATTGCTTTGATATGTGAATTCACAAGCACCACCACTTGGTATAGCATTCAAAGGAATGAACAAATGATCAGGCTTTAGATATCTATCAATATCTGATCCACAGACAATTGCATTTTCGCAAGAACTTATATCTCTGGCATCTTGATGTCGCATAGGATCTACATCTATGTTTTCCTCATTTATTTCGTCATACTCGTTTTCTTGGTTATCGTCATTTATCGTATTAGGAGGAGATTGATGGGTTGTGTGTTCATGAGAGTTGATTAATAGTTTCGTTTACACCAAAATATTGCTTATGTTGTGAAAACTATTATCATTAAAATACAGCCACCTCCTATTCCAGCTGTGTAAATAATTGCATCTCCTATTTGACGGTAAAAAAGCATCTATTAACTTCAAATCATAAATGTCATAAGCTAGTTAATAGTCAAGTGTGATTTTCAATGTAAATATGAGTAGTTTGTTTCATGAATGCTTTAGAAAACTATGCATTTCTTGTCTGAGTTTGAATGTCCCTCTGGTATCTTTCGCCCCTTTCTTGTCAAGTTACACTACGTTTAATAATTTGTACGACTTTTCAGAAAGCAGAATCATGAGATATTCTAGTGTAGAAACCGGACAAATATTTTACTGAATTCTTATGTTCGTTTATTTCATCTAACATTTAAATAAGTATAATGCATTATGTGAGTGTGCCCAGTGTTAATGAAAGAATCTTTAGTACCATCGATTTCTTCCAATGGAACTACGTAACTATGTGTTTGGCAAAGAGTGAAGGTTGTTGTACAGGTTTTTGATAAACTATGTGCTCACTTACGTACTTTTTGGAAACTCTTTTATATTATATTTGCTTAATCTTAAGAAAAATGAAGATTTCAAAATGGAAATATATGTTATCATATCAAACTATATGTTTGGTATGATCGGGAAATATATGTTCATCTTTTATGTTTGTACATAAATGAAAGGCTTCGAAAAATGCATCGATTCATTTGGCCAAACACTTTATATATTTTGTTCTACTAAATATACTGTTTGGTGCTCATACGTCACGTTTTTGTCTCATTCCCCGTTTCCATTATGAATTTACAAAAGTCAATTTCAATTATAATGTCAAGTACCTGGCCAAGAAGCTGTTTTAGAGCTGGCGTTTACTAAATGCTTGCACTGAGATGCCCTTGATAAAGTTCAGTTGGTATCAGTATAGTGGTATATTTCCAGGTAGATGTAAACATTGC